TGAGTGAAATTGTAAGACACCCAGCTGGTGTCTGGAGCTTTGCTTGTTGGTGTGGGGAAGCCTCTTCCCCCACAATGATGGAATTGGGTACAGAACCCTTTTAGTGGAACTTTGTTACAGCAACCCTAGAAAGTTAACATCCATGACATACAAAAATTAAAGGTATCGATATCACTAAAGTCTCAAAAGATGATTGCAAATAACAGCCTGGGAATTCTTGGGACACTGGGAGAAAATGGTGGAGCTGACAGGCAAATGAGCATGGTGGAAAGGGAAGCCTGAGGGAGTGAGCAGGAGAGGGGGCTTCCCTGGTGGTTTCTGTCTGGGAGTCAGTCAGGGACAGACACAAGCAATTCCCACCCACTTCCCTTACCCATCTCTTCATCTCTCTACCTTTCCCTCCCCCACCAACCAGTAACCTAGTCACCAGGGCCTGCCTACTCCTGTCTGCCTCTAGGGTAACTACTAAAACTTTTTAAAGAGGTTTTAACTAATAAACCAATCGTGGAGATCAAAGAAAATCATAAAAAATTACTCAACCCAAAAGAAGGCAGAAAAAGAAGAGAAGAACACAGAACAGGCAGGACTAACAGAAAGTGACCAATGAGATTGTATATGTAAAACTCTCTGTATCAATGCTCATAGATAGTAAATGTTAGTGACCTAAACACCAAACTAAAAGTCAGAGATTGTTGGATTAGATAAAAAGTCAAGGCCCAACTCTATGCGGCCTATAAGAAACCCACTTTATACGTAAAACATAGGTAAGTTAAAAGGTAAAGGATGGAAAAGGATGAACACGCAAATAATAAAAGGCAGCTAGAGCACTGCGTTAATATCAGAAAAAGTAGACTTCCAAATAAAGATTTTACCAGGGATGCAGAGGGCAATTACTCAATGATAAAGGGATCAATTTCTCAAGAAGATGCAACAATCCTAAATTTGTGTGCACCTAATGAGAAAGTTTCAATGTATATAAAACAAAACTGAAAGGAGTAGACAAATGCACAGTTATAATTGGAGGCTTCAATCCCCCTGATCCCCCTTTCTCAGTAGTTGATAAACTAAGTTAACAAAAGAACTCAGTATAGATATAGAAGACCGACGTGATTTCATTGACATTTATAGAACACTCCACCTATAACAGCAGAAGACACACTGTTTTCAAACGCACAAGGAACATTTACCAAGATAGGTCATTTCTGGACCTTGAAATAAATCTCAACAAATGCAAAGAATTGGAATCATGCAAAAAAAAAAAAAATCTGACCACAATGGAAGTGTTCAATGACAAAAATAACACAATTTAGTAATGAGTGTGAGGTCCTTTATTCAATGGACTGAGAGTACAGTGCCTCAAGCATGGAGCACTGTTTCTGTGGGATTTGGGGCAAGAGGGAGTTTATAGGGGTCAGAAAAGGCAACTTGGAAACAGGGCATGATTGGTTAGGAGGTCAGGGACTTCCTTACAAGGCTCACAGGTCCTGCTTTCCAGGGTCGGATGAGCTAAAGCTGAGTTGAAGGATTCTGATTGGTGTGTTAGGTTTCCTTGACAGTGAGTATAGGTGCAG